CAAGTTAGTGTACATGCACAATAACGGATTGTTAGGAAACATATAGTCAACCTAATATTCATATGTGTGAAACATTGTTCAGCCACGGTCGGGATGTATGTGATGGCATTATATTGTACAATATGTATGTGCTTACACGAAAAAATAAAATTATTATGGTTTGTGTGACGTATTTTGTTAATTTATTGAGTTGGAGAAAGGGGAAATTTGTTATGTACTTGTCAAGTTTAAGCATGGTAGCACCATGGCAAACGACAGGGTTATGATTTGATGACTGTGACATAGAAAAAAAAAATATAAAAATGGCCACCCACTATGTCAAACTAAACTTCTTGAAAATTAAAATATTGGGGCATCTAACAAGTTGGTTAAAAGTTAGCAGTATGATTTGTATGGACTTTTCTTTAACAAATTGTAAAACAAGTTCAGAGTTGATGTGTCCAAAAATAGATTGGAAGGGAATTTTTTTTTAATATAGGGTAAAATTGTCCCTTTTTACACAATTATTAAAAAATGAATAAAAAAAAACCGAAGTATTACGAATTGAATAGGCTGATGTGGCAGCCTAGGACAGCTATTACGCACACGGCGAAAAAATGAAAAAAAAGAAAATTCAAAAAGAAATAAAGTGATGCTCAAGGGCATTTTCATAATTTGACATATGGACACATCATCACCAAGTCAAAAGTCAAATAATCAAAGTCTATCTCAAATGAGGCTTTTTAGCCTCAGGCTAAAATAGTCAAAAAATCAACCTACATCCCAAACGAACCCATAACTAACAGAGAAATAATATTTGCATCGAAACAAAATTTTTGTGCAACACAATGCATAAAAGTTCCCACATCAAAGTGGAGCCTACAATGGGGGGATTTATGTTGTAGGACCCATCCTCATGTGAGAAGTTCTATGTACATAAATTTTTTACATGTAGTAGTGTTATAACTAATACTTGTCCCAAAAGCCTACAATGGGGGGATTTATGTTGTAGGACCCATCCTCATGTGAGAAGTTCTATGTACATAAATTTTTTACATGTAGTAGTGTTATAACTAATACTTGTCCCAAAACTATATATAGCTAATATTTACGCTTCGTTTGTTTTGACAGTTTTTCATATATATATATATATATGGCTTTGTGTGATTTAGTTTTGAAATCAATTTTGAAAAATATGTTTTTGAAACGAGTTTTTAAATTTTAAAAAAAAATTTGGTTGTATATTTTGAAAATAATTTTAGAGTTTCGTAGTTTGTGATGATTTGCAATTTTTTTATATTTGAATAGATGGGTGCGAGAGAAAAAATGATTAATTGATGTGTAGGATGTGAAGAATGAGAGAGGAGAGAAAAAAAAAAGTGATTCGTTGATTTGTATGATGTGAGAGAATGAGAGGGGAGATAGAAAAAGTAATTGAAAACAATTTTGAAAAAATTGTAAGCCAACCAAATTTTGAATTTTGAGCTCTAAAAAATTATTTTCAAAACTAAATTGAACACAACCTATATTTTATGGTATTTGGTATTTTATATGATCAATAAAAACAAGTTTAATTGAACAAAAAATATTTTTCACTTTTAAAGACTAAATAATATTTTTCAAATTAAAATCTTACTAACACCACATCACTTACCACTGCCACCCCACCACCGCACCACACAACTACCAACTCCACCATCCAATCACCACCCACCGCTATCACCATCACTACTTCCACCATCCTATATCACTGTTGTTGCCCCACCATTGTCTTCATTCCCTCCCTCCATTACTACTACTACTACTACTATTACCACCACCACCATCCTATATCGCTATTGTTGTCCCACCATCGTCTCCATCATCCTATCATCACCAACATTCAGCGATGAAACTAGGAGAAGATTATAGGGGGTCATGACCCCCTTGCTTGTGTGAGCAATATTGTTTGTCATAGTACTTTAAAAATATATCTCTCATTTTATATATAAAATGACTCCCAATATAAAAAATAGATTTTGTTTCCATTTGCATTTTCATTTTATTTTGCACCAAAAAAAAAAAAAAAAGAAGCTTCTTCATCATATTAGAGATTACTTTCATGGTGTTTGATTTTTTTGTGTGTATATGTATAATTTATATATCATATTGTATATACACATGTGTGTTTGTGTGTATAGTGAAAAAATGTCTTCGTCTTTTAGTCTCTCCGATGATGAAATCCTAATTTCGTCCCTGCTAACATTGCCCTTCCATCACTACCACATCAACACCACCATTACAATAACTACTAACACATTAAATTTCAGAAAAAAATTCATTTTGTCCCCCTCATGGTTTCAGCCCGAAGCACATTACCCTATTATGGTTAAAATATAACTATAAAGTTCCTATGTGGTTTTAGACTAAAATAACCACCATTAGTTTCTTTTCACCCAAACTAACGGAAAAGTGTGTCACATACCCTTTTTTAGAATTGACTTGATTTTCTGAAAAAATAAAATGAAACATAACAATAATACAATTTTACCTAGCTTCTCCAAACATAAAATTAGATTAAGCTTTTAATTAAAATAACATAAAATAAAATAAAATTATAATTAAAAATTAATCTAAAATATAAAATATAGTTAAGGATTGATCTACAATATAATTAAATTAAAATTAGATTAAGATGTTAGGAATTACAATAAATAATTAAGGATTTATAATAAATGTGCTCTAAAATATAATTAAATTAAAAAGTTAAGAATTACAATATATAATCAAAATTTTATTATTAGTTGTGATTTAATTGAATTAATACTAAAAATTAAAAATTACGTCTATGAGATAGGAGAACAAAAAGAAAATAACAAATTTTTTTAAAAAAAAAAAAAAAAAAAAAAGATCTATGGGTATTATAGTCATTTTACATATATAGTGAACGGAATTAACGGTTGCGCACTGTCCAAAACCAGATGGGGGCTTTTTGACAATATTTAAGAGGGACTTAATTACGTGTAGGTCTTAATGTAGACTTATTGTCCAATAGATTCTATGATAAATAATTACGTTTTTCATCGAACACTATTAAAAAACGTCAGTAATTGTTAATTTTCAACAACAGTTTAAAAATTGTCACAAAAAATGTCACTAATTATAAGTTTTAGTGACAGTTTAAAAAAATCGTCACAAAAAATGTCATTAATTTTCAACTTTCAACGACGGTTTGAAAAATTCGTTACAAAAAAATGTCACTAATTGTAAGTTTTGACGACAATTTATAAAAATTGTGACAAAAAAAAGTTGCTATTTGTCAATTTTTAGAGACATGCAAAAAACTATCACAAAAAATTATTTTTAGCGACGATTTTACTGGGACTTACTTTCAATAGGACTTGATAGGAATTAAGTCCAATTATTAAGACCTAATGATAATTTACACTACAACAAATTACACTTTTGGCGACTAAATTTTTAGTCACCAAAAGTTAGTTTTTAGTCACCAAAGATTTTTGCTGACTAAATTTTTTGGTCGCTAGCTTTGTCGCTAGATGATTGTCGAGAAAGGTATTGGCGACTAATTTTTTTTTAGTCGCCGAAAGTCACCCATTGGCGACTAAAAATTTAGTCGCTCAAAAAAATATATATTTAGTCGCCAAAAAGAAAATATTTTCCATCTTTAGTTTTTTAGCTACCAATTTTTTAGTTGCTAAAAATGTGACACTCCTTTTTGGCTACCAATTTTTTAGTCACCAAAAACTTTCATTTTTTTTTGGCTACTAACTGTTTAACCTTTTTATTTTTTGGCTAATACATGTTTAGTCGCCAAAAGCTCAAACTTTTTAGTCACCAATAAGTTCCTTTTTATTTTTTGGCTACTCCATGTTTAGTCGCCAAAAGCTCAAGCTCTGTTTATTATTATTTTTAAAATGCACAAATTGAATATTTTTCATTAATTTCTAAATTATATGCATTTCATTATCAATGCAACCTATAACTTGTACGTATACAGAATAATACATCTATCAATTATAATCTAAATCCATTATGAATAATATCCATTTCATTATCAACTATTCAAAAACTTTAACCTATAACATCATATTCCAAATATCATATAAATCCATAGAAACCAAGTATAATCCATCCAAATTAAATATTACATACAAAAACACTGGATTTCCAAAACAGAGGATTGTTCCAAAATAAATGTCTTCCATATATAGAACAAATGCTCTTCGTACACATCCACAATAACCCACGCAAAAGCAATTTGTACAAAAAGAAAAAGAAAAAATTAACCATTAGCACTTATTCAATAATATTGACGTTTCAAATTATAACAATTACAAAATTAATAATTTAGATATATTATACTCTGCAAATTATAACAATTCTACAATTAAAATTAATAATTTAGATATATTATACTCTGCATATAATCCCATCAAGATCATTTTAATGTTTCTGTTTTGTAGAAAATTTATACAACCTCCAAATTGAACCCCATGCTTGCCTAGTAAACTCTAGTTTGACAATTACATGTAATGTTTCCAAAATTTTATTTTCTCACTAGTATACAACATGATCCTAAATGTTTCAAAATCAAAATCCTTTAGCAGTTTTTATCAAATTATGTTACTTTTGTCAGTCTGCATTTTCACAAATCTTGAACATTGAAGGCACTACAGTTCCACAACCTTCAGTATTGAAAACATAATATGAGGATGCAGAAATTTCGTTATACTTTATTTGACTAGAGAGATGTATATAATGTAGGTTAGCATTTATGTTTTCCAGTTAGACTTCATCAAACAAAATATATAGAAACCCAAATCCAAAATCTTCGAAATTGAGCTCGACAAATTTCTAGCCAATACAAGACTTCAAGACCATGTTTTAAACTAACATAATTAGGACAACAAAGAACAAATTCAATATCTACCCAGCAGTGCCTTTACCATCTTTTGCCGATCATAAATTGGCATAGTGCACTGAATGGACTTTTAGAAGCATGCACTTTTTAGAAAAGCTCGTGTACATAAACTCACCAAGTGACCATTAAATCTTTGGAAGGACTTTTAATGCCCAGAAGTCTGTTTTGCATTTCCGCCAAACACCCATAAAACTATGAAAATAACTTCCAAGTGCACACAAAATCTAGAAAATTCTAATTAAAAACTATATGGTTTGTGAAAATTACTTCCAAGTTCATAGAAAATCTAGAAAATTCCAATTGAAAACTATATGGTTTGAGCAACTATAAAACAAACTATGAAAACTCTTCTTGATTGAAGCTATTCTCTAGCTAAAATTACCAAAAGGGAAAGAAAATCACACCTAGAAGAGGCAATATGTGTTTGCAGACAGCCAAGAAAGGCTCTGTCAATAGTTCTCCTCTGTCAGACTTAACATTCTTCATTCCCTCCAAAGCAGGGCTGAATACAGTCCCCTCCATTTTTCAAGGTTTACTGCATAATTTAGATATGTAAATAAACAAACATGTTATTTAGTAATTAACTATAGAAGTTCACATAAAAGTTATTCATCTCTGTGATAAAAACAACATCACCCAGTAACCCAAATCTAATGGAGGATTTTTATATGTTTGGCCCTTTTCTCATTTTAGTCCTTAAAGTCTTTTTTTCACTGTGATTATTCATGTTTCAAGTTTTCTCCAAACAATAAAGGCTTTAGGGTTTTAAGGGCAAAAAATTAACAAAGAATATCAAGAGAATTGGGGAGAGAAGTAGTTACAAGCTTGGCAATCTCTTCAAGAACAGAGGTGACCTGTTCACCTCCTTTGAGGAGAGCTTCATACTAAGAAGCATTCCATTTAGTTTCCTCGCCTTTTCTTGATTCATCGTTGTCGCAATCTCCGGCATGTCGTCAGTCTCGCTATTGATGGATAGACAAATATACGAATATAGAGAGATTTTAGAGAGAGAAAATAGGGCAAATCTAGGTGAATCGGTGCTCCGGTTGCCCGTGACTGCGAGGGGGAAGGGCAAAGGCGCAGCGGTAAGAGAGGGAGGGGAGAGGAGCAGCGAAGAGGGAGAGGTAGAGGGGGAGAGAGAGAGAGAGACGCTGAAGAGAGAAAGACAGAGGCATTAGTTTGTGGTTTGGAAACCAAATATATATATATATATTACACCATTAGTGACTAAATATTTTTAGTCGCCAATTAATTTTATAAATCCCTCCAAAATTTAAAATGTCTCCCTCCAAATATTTTAATTTTTTGGTGACTAAAATTTTTTTTTGTCGCTGAAAATAAGTTTTTGGCGACCAAACTTTTGGTCGCCAAAGATAAAAATTAATTTTTTATTTTCCATTCAGCGACTAAATGGTTTTAGTAGCCAAAACTCAATAGACGACGACTAAAATATTTTTTGAAAATATGTTTTTGGTGGCCAAACGTTTGGTCGCCAAAGATAAAAAATAATTTTTTATTTTACATTCGGCGACTAAATGGTTTTAGTAGCCAAAACTAAATATAGGGTGACTAAAATAATTTTTTTGTCACCAATTCTGGTATTTTTAGCGACTAAATTTTTTTTAGTCGCCAATAATAAATATACCCCAACTAAAAGAAATTAGCAGCTAAATATTGTACTTTTGCCGATTAAAAAATTTTTGGTCGCAAATTCCACAACTTTTGGCAACTAAATTTTTTTTAGTTGCCAATTTTGGTCGCCAAAGGTGCATTTTGTTGTAGTGTTACCCAATATTTTTAAACCATAGGGGAGTAAAGTGCTCGTCTCAAACCAAATAGAGATAAAATGAATTTTGTCCTTAAATTTCAAGGTCGCAATCAAACTAAAAAATATTTCTTACAAAAAATATTTTCATAGAAAACGGAAAAAAAAAATCATATTGAAACAAATAGAACGTTAATTATCTAAAGTAATAGATATGAATACAAATGATCATTTGTACCCAAAATTCCTATTTCCATGTACTCAATGCACTCAAATCCAATTGATTGTGCCTTGAGTTTGTATGTTTTGAGATTCCAAACCACATAACTCAATTGGGAGCGTGCTAGATATAAGACAACAATTTTGACAATAAAAAAATGTCTTATAAACATCTTATTTTGCAGATATTATATAGAAATAATGTTAATTAAGATGAAAACACTACTAGGAAAATGACCTTTTGCTACCATATAATTTGCGACCACCTGATTAGCCTTCGCAAATAACCAATTATCCCTTATTTTCTTCTATTTATTTTCCTTTTTCTTTATATTTGCCCTAGCCCGTGATTTCTCTCTCTCTCTCTCTCCCCTCAATCTCGCTCTCTCTCTGTCACTCAATCTCGTTCTCTCTCTCCTTAATGATCTTCTCAGATCACTACACATATATTATGTATATGTTGTGAATATCAATGTTTGAAATTGAATTTATTCTATTAAGGTCCGAGTAAGAATCGAAGTAGTCATCTTCCTCAAGATCTTGAACTCTTCGACTCCGACAATCTCATATTTCTCTAGTTTGCAATTTTGTTTCAAATCTCTACTCTCAAAATGTGTATATATATATGTATGTATGTATGTATGTATGTATGTATGTATGTATGTATGTATGTGTGTGTGTGTTTGTGTGAGTGTGTTTTTGTGTTAAGCATTGTGTCACTGTTGATTTTAATTTGATAAATTTGGGAATTTTTGAGTGTGTTACAGATCAATAGAAGATGGAATAATAGTAGAGGGTTTGTTGACTGATGTTTCATGGATTTTTCTCTCTTACTTGTTTTGCACGAGGTCTTTGATGAGACTGTTCAATCTTTCATTAGAGGTAATAATAGGATCATCATTATCTCTTTCTCATTTGCCTTCTTAATCAATCTCTCGAAAAGTACACATTGCCTCAGCATATGTATCCTTCAATTTAGGCTATTAGGTTTTTGGCCATTCCATTGATGTTTCTTTTCTTCAATTTAGTATAAATTAGGCTTGTGTGTGGTTGGTTATAATGAATTGTTTATTGTTTATGTTGAATTAGTGCTTTGTTTTGTGTTTTGGATACCTAATTTGTAATAACAAGACCCTCTTGTATGCTTTCTGGTATACTTTCCGTCTCATATTATGCGCATTTATCTGGGTAAATGTGAAATTCCACGTGAAATTAAGTTTAATTGTGTGAATTATCTAATTATGGATTTCTATCTGTCAACTATGAGAAATATCTGTTACAAGTGGTAATTGGAAGCCTTAGAAGCTTGATAATCTGAAATTGAGTTTATATTTGAGATTAGCTTGATTTCTAAATCATAATAAGAATTTTTGTGCAAATCTGATTCGGAATGATTAAACTGATTAATTTTTGTTTTAAACAACTTTTATATATATCTATCTACCTTTTATGCTTTTAACTTGGCAAGTCCCTCAAAAATATCTTCTGAGAGAGAGTGGTGAGGTTGACAGAAAGAACCATGGGAGAAGAGTTCATCAAAGAAGAAGATTAGGAAATTGAGAGGGTTTGTAGAGATTTGAGTCAAGGCATGTATGAACCACCTTAAATCACCTCTTCTGCAACTCTTCTTTGATTTAGTAAGAATTTCTCTTACCTTCATGCAATCTAGGGTTTGTAATTGAGATTAAGTGTGTGGTAATTGTTCAATTGGAAAAGTATTCTTAGCAATTAGCTGTTTTGGAGGTAATTTGGGTTATATGGAGGAATTGTAACTTATTCCTTGAATTCTCATGTTGAAACTACATGTTTGTACATGTATATTGTTTGTATGTTTAAGAGAACTGAGTTGGGTTGTGAAATTGAAAATGATTAACTTAATTGAGTTTGTGACCCATGTTATTGTGATGTGGAGCCAATATATTGCATTAATTTCCCCTATTTTATGCCTTATTATGTGCCTATCAAGTTGTGGGAATGTTTTGCTTCGGATTGCACAAAACAGGACAGAATTGCCACACGTGCAGGGCTCACAGCCGCACGTACGGAAAACAGGGGATTGTGGGATTGAGGGTACTGGCACAAAAGCACGTGCGAAGCCTCACAGCCGCACGTGCGGGAACTACTGCCACACGTGCGGGGCTCACAGCCGCACGTGCGGCCTATGCTGAAAAATCTTGTTTGCTCCGTTTTACGTGTTTGACCCTCTGATATTATTAAAATAATTATTTTATACTTTTGGAATGGTTGTAAATTCATTCGAAGCGAAATGAACCGAATATTGTTTAATAAGGAAAACGAACTAATTCTTGAACTGCGTGTGTATGTAGGGCACATACCGGAAGAAGCTGCCGCCCCACCACAACATTGTGAGTAATAGTACTGTAGTTGTACACTTTACTTATCGCTAATGATTATTATTAGCACTCTGTTAATCACAAGTCAATGGTGTGAACGTTGAAAAAATCTGTGTACATCTGTAGGACTCTGAGACTAGTCTATTCTGTTGATATCTATTAGGCCTAAGGCAAATCTGTGAAATCTGTTAGGCCTAAGGCCAATCTGTGAAATCTGTTAGGCCTAAGGCCAATATGTGAAATCTGTTAGGCCTAAGGCCGCTCTGCTAAATCTGTTGGGCCTGAGGTCGCTCTGCTAAATCTGTTGGGCCTAAGGCCGTTCTGTGTGATACTGGGCTTGAAGCCACTCTGTATAAAGATTAGGCCCAAGGCCGTTCTGGAAATATTTACAGGAAAAGATTAACCATGTGACCTCTGTCCTTATATACATTATAATTCAAGTTTAGTCATTAAATTGTTGAAGTACTACTATTCACTGAGCCTCACTCACTTTGTGTTATGTCTGTCTTTGTAGGCAATCAACCTGGAGGTCGGTCTTAGTCCACCTTTGGTCACTCCGTTCTGGTCAAGCAATGTGAAGAAGCTTATGTGTTTTGTGGCGTTCCCTTAGTGACCCCTAGTTTGGTCTTTAATCTTTTGATTTGTCGTGTATAACCTTCTTTACCAACATTTTTGTTGTATGCCCACATGCGAGGCTGGTTCTGTACATATGTCCATATATGTTATTGTGTGACTGCAAATATCTGCTTCTCGTATATCTATCTATCATATTTGAAACTGTTTAATGGCACATTGATATCCTAGCATATAGGTATGAGCTCGATGGATGTTAATTTATATTATTTTATGTTATTAAATGCTTCCGTTTAGGCCCCATATGTTGTATGTATCGAATTAACTGTCCGTTTTTGAAGTGATCATGCCCAAACTTTTAGGGGCAGGTTTGGGGTGTGACAAGTGGTATCAGAGCACGAGTTGCTATCTCACACATGAATCCATTGAGCTTTAGGATGTCTAGAAAAAACTTAGGCATCATGCATGACATCCTTGGTGCATATGAAAGAGATTGATGGCAACGATAATTGTACATGTAATATCCGCTAACCGCAATGGTCACTATCCATGTCTATGGTATATTCTTTGTGTATATTGTGATTAATTGTCATGCAGAATATGGTGAGAACAAGGATGGAAGCTCCGGAGGATTCTACCTCCGCATGGTTAGACAGAAAGAAAAGGAAAATTGTACAATATATGTAAAATGAATTGAGGAAAAATTAAATAATAAATAATTATGAGAACTATTGCCTTTGTTTATCTTACATAGATTGGTGGACAATGTAAGACATGCAGATGGGATTAAATCAACAGCGTTGCACTGCGGAAGCGTGGTGAGGGTTCGAGCTAATCGGTAAGACAATTTTATGCAAATGGTTAGGTGGAATGTGTGTTATCGGTTGATAGTTACCTGTGGGAGACGATGACAATATAATTGTGCTTTCTAGCATCTGTGTAGATGGATTGATTAAACTCTAAATATTGAATATTCCTAAGACTTATTGACCAAATGAAATGATATATGCGATACTTTAACTTTTATGACATAGCCATATCTTCCTTGCCATAGCAATGTTTAGATCTGTGATTTTGAGAAGTTACTGTGTTTGGATATTTTGATAAGATGTGTTTTGCATGATAGTTGAAATTGTGTTGAGCATGACCGACTGTAAAAAGAAGTTATGCATATAGCGACCCCTCTTAAAATTGTGTAAGGAGTTAATTGATTGTGATTTTGCTTCCTACTGATTGTTTAAATAGATAAGCTAT